AGTGTGTCAGTAATGGTATCCATAAAAATCCAGTGAAAACTTTTCGTTCTAACTTCAAAGGGAGATCCGATGATATACAATCTACCATTACATACAATAGCTCCCACGTAGTCTATCCCTTGGAATGTTCATGCGGCAAGCAGTAAGTCGGCAGAACTACCAGGAGACTGAGAGATAGGCTGCGGGAGCATTTATCTAACATAAAAAAAGGGTTTAAAGAGCATTCATTGTCAATGCATTATCGTCAAACAACACAACAGAAATCTGCATTCTCTTAAATTTACAGGCATTGATATAATCAAAAAACACTGGAGAGGAACTCATAAAAAGGAGGGCAGTGTCTATGCTAGAAACAAAGTGGATATTTTTTACTACAGACCCTTTCTTCACACGGCTTAAATATCGATTTAGACATAAATTGTTTCATAGACACCAGCTAAGCCATTACAATCACCCCCCCCCCCCCCCCCCTTCACATCCCCTCACTTCCTCAGTTTTATTTCCACTACATTAAGTGAGGCCATTTTAGCATATTTACTTTATTTTATTTTTCATCCTCTGTTTTAACGCTGTGATGTAAGCATTCTATTGATTAGTGCTTACATTGGTGATCTATTACTACTTTTCACCAATTTTAATTCTAATTTTATCTCTTAAGTGATTTTTATTGATGTTTGCAGTTATTTATGTTTTATCTTGGATATTTGCTTATATGAGTCTATTTCTCATTCATCACATTTTAATTCACAAGGCATCATGACTTGTTTATTTTAATGTGACTTTTTACTATGAGAAACAGTAGCCGTATTTACCTTTGAGCCCTCTGCCAGCTCACATATCATCACTGATGGTTTACATGATTCCCTAGTGGTGGAATAACATCTCCATCATTAATATGTCGATGTCACCATGATTGATGGTCCACTACCAGAGGTATTCTTTTGAGGCATTTTCCTTGATCTTATCTACATTTAATAACTTTATATAGGGGTATTGAGTTTGTACTCTCCCCCTTTTTTGCATACTATTATATATTTTATGTGGTTTCTATTGTATTATTCACAGTTGTTCTTTCATTGCTTTTAGTTATAATTATTTATATATCATTATTCACATTCTATAATGGAACAGAGTTGTCCCAGGTTTATGCTTCTCTAACTTTAATCAACTATTTATATTTTTCATATTAACAAAGGAAACATAGCTACCTCAGGTGTATATATAAATTTTTTTTCTATTCCCCAGGTTAAACCGCTGGGAGGCGCTATATACAGACTATGTCGAGTATGCCTTAATGAAGGCTTGAAGTATCGATTTATCTTATATACACTATTGTTCTATGTAATAGTGCTAAACCATGCATATGTACATTGACCACTTGCAATTAGCTAGTTCCCTGGTATGCACTTTGTTCCTATACAATGCGAATTGATCTCCTGGAAAATGGCCACCGCCGGCTCGCAATGCGCATGCGTCAATGGTCCATTCTCGCTATTAAGCAACCTTCAAGAAAATGGCCGCTGCCCGCATAGGAGACTGCGCATGCACGAAAAGTCCGCGATGATGCGGACGCGATGCATGGTGCATGTGCACCGATTGGTATATATAGACTTCATTGTGTATGGGCACACTCCCTTTGACAAAGTGTATGAACACGAAACGCATTAGAGAGGTGCCCTTAAGCATTGTGTACACACCGCACAGCCTGTATGGACGGCCGGTGGCCATCTTGGATTTTTATGTAAGTGATTCTCAATTTTTATGCTCCACTTTGGCTAATAAAATACTACACCATTGTAAGCTTTCTTCTTGGGATTGTTTGTTCCTGCGAGCCCCCCATTTTGAAGGTGATTCCTGTGACCAGACGCATGCTGATGTGTGTGTTCTCCCTGGTGGCTGACATCTGCATACATCTGGAGGCTGGTTACCTTACCCGGATGTATGACACCTGGTGGTTGCTGCCCTGATGACTTCACCCGTTTGCAGTGTCCCATATCCAGAGTACCAGGAGTAGGTCTTATATACTTCATGAGCAAGAGATTGTGCTATCTGGTTAGTGCGTATCTATATCCACTTTCATCACCACAGGAGTCACAGATTTTTTCCATCACCAAGTTCATTGATGTTATCACATATGTCACTATATGCACCTGCTGTGCTACTCGAGACTGTTGTTTATCCATTGGCGTTCAGCATCTTTTAATGAGATTGAGACGCTGTTTTTATTAGTTACGGATTTTATGGCCATTTATATCCTTTCAACGCTGCATATATTTTCTTATATACATAAGAGAAGGTTATCTAGATAGCCTGTCACCTGAATGCCCTGAGTTCGAGAAGGGAATGCAATGTTTCTAAGATCTTTGTGAACAACCTGGGAGCAGAAGACTAACTAAAAAAGTGCAGCTCTTTCAAGAAAAACACAGGACTGAGATTGAGCTCTGCAGTCACTCTTGCAGCAGTTGTTTTCTTATCCTAGGTCACGATCCTGCGCAATGTCCTTGTCAGGGCTCCCAGGTATGACCAGAGATATGTGACTGATGCAGGGAAACGCAGACTTCAGATATGTGATAAACAATATAATTTATTAACACTAACAGTACAAACATAAACGCAGTGCAATACTAAAAACATAACACAGTGCAAACAAACCAAACCAAACCACCCACAGATAACAGTATATACAAGCAAGCGTCGTCAGGCAGGCCGGGTCAATATCAATAAGGCAGGTAGGTACAGGGGGAGCAAGCGGAGATTGGTCAGGGTCACAAGCCAGGGATCAGAACAGGTAGCAAGCAGCGTGGTACAGAGGGTCAGACAGAGGGTTGGTCAGGAGCGAGCCGGGATCAGAGCAGGAGAAGTCAGCAGCGGTTCAGAAACAGGATGCAGGACAGAAACAGGATACAGGGCCCAGGACAAACACAACACCAAGGCAGAGTCTGTGGGTCTGGCCATCCCTTAAATACCCCAGCATCATCAGTTACAGGTGTTAGCTGGCTGAAAGGTTGAGTCTCTGATTGCTGGGAGCACCCGCTGGCCAGCCCTGGTACTGCAGATCAAAAGGCAGGTGAGTCCCACCATTGCTGGCCAGTCCATTCCTAACAGTACCCCCCCCTCAAGGAGCGGCCTCAGGACGCTCCAAACAGTCCTAGCTGGGCAAAATGTTCCACCGCCCGGGTCTGGCAACTGGCGGGATATCAAAGACTGGCACACCGGGCAGCGGCACACCGGGCTGGACTCCGGGCAGAGGCACATCGAGCAGAGGCACATCGAGCAGAGGCACACCGGGCAGAGGCACACCGGGCAGAGGCACAACACCGGGCAGAGGCACACACCGGGCAGAGGCACATCGGGCAGAGGCACATCGGGCAGGACTCCGGGCAGAGGCACACCGGGCAGAGCACACCGGCAGGACTCCGGGCAGAGGCACATCGGGCAGGACTCCAGGCAGAGGCACATCGGGCAGGACTCCGGGCAGAGGCACATCGGGCAGGACTCCGGGCAGAGGCATATCGGGCAGGACTCCGGGCAGAGGCACATCGGATTACCAGGCGAAGCAGCAGGAAGCGGGCCACCAGGCGGGGCAGCAGGCACCGGGCCCCGGGCGGATCAGCAGGCACCGGGCCCCGGGCGGGGCTAAGGCAGGCACCGGGCCCCCCGGGCGGATCAGCAGGCACCGGGCCCCGGGCGGGGCTACAGGCACCGGGCCCCCGGGCGGGGCGGCAGGCACCGGGCCCCCGGGCGGAGCGGCAGGCACCGGGCCCCCGGGCGGAGCGGCAGGCACCGGGCCCCCGGGCGGGGCTACAGGCACCGGGCCCCCGGGCGGGGCTACAGGCACCGGGCCCCCCGGGCGGGGCTACAGGCACCGGGCCCCCGGGCGGGGCTACAGGCACCGGGCCCCCGGGCGGGGCTACAGGCACCGGGCCCCCGGGCGGGGCTACAGGCACCGGGCCCCCGGGCGGAGCGGCAGGCACCGGGCCCCCGGGCGGAGCGGCAGGCACCGGGCCCCCGGGCGGAGCGGCAGGCAACCGGGCCCCCGGGCGGAGCGGCAGGCACGGGGCCCCCGGGCGGGGCGACAGGCACGGGGCCCCCAGGCGGGGCGTAAGGCACCGGGCCCCCAGGCGGGGCGACAGGCATCGGGCCCCCAGGCGGGGCGACAGGCATCGGGCCCCCAGGCGGGGCGACAGGCATCGGGCCCCCAGGCGGGGCGACAGGCATCGGGCCCCAGGCGGGGCGGACAGGCATTCGGGCCCCCAGGAGGGGCGACAGGCATCGGGCCCCCAGGCGGGGGCGACAGGCATCGGGCCCCCAGGCGGGGCGACAGGCATCGTGCCCCCAGGCGGGGCGACAGGCACTGGGCCCCCAGGCGGGGCGACAGGTCTCGGGCCCTCAGGCGGAGCGGCGGGCGCCGGACCTCCAGATGGAGTGACAGGTCTCGGGCCCTCAGGCGGAGCGGCGGGCGCCGGACCCCCAGGCGGAGCGACAGGTCTCGGGCCCTCAGGCGGAGCGGCGGGCGCCGGACCCCCAGGAGGAGCGACAGGTCTCGGGCCCTCAGGCGGAGCGGCGGGCGCCGGACCCCCAGGAGGAGCGACAGGTCTCGGGCCCTCAGGCGGAGCGGCGGGCGCCGGACCCCCAGGAGGAGCGACAGGTCTCGGGCCCTCAGGCGGAGCGGCGGGCGCCGGACCCCCAGATGGAGCGACAGGTCTCGGGCCCTCAGGCGGAGCGGCGGGCGCCGGACCCCCAGGTGGAGCGACAGGTCTCGGGCCCTCAGGCGGAGCAGCGGGCACCGAGTCACCAGGCACGACAGTGGGCTCCGAGTCAACTGGTATGACCGCAGGCACTGGGTCAGACATTGGATGGTCTGGCTGGACAGCGGGCATCGGGTCACCAGGCATCAGGTCATTTGGCTGGACAGCGGGCACCGCGTCATCTGGCAAGGCAGTGGGCTCCGAGTCAACTGGTATGACCGCGGGCACTGGGTCAGACATTGGATCGTCTGACCGGACAGCGGGCATCGGGTCACCAGGCATCAGGTCATTTGGCTCGACCGCGGGCACCGCGTCATCTGGCAAGGCAGTGGGCTCCGAGTCAACTGGTATGACCGCGGGCACTGGGTCAGACATTGGGATCGTCTGACTGGACAGCGGGCATCGGGTCACCAGGCATCAAGTCATTTGGCTCGACAGCGAGCACCGCGTCATCTGGCAAGGCAGTGGGCTCCGAGTCAACTGGCATGACCGCGGGCACTGGGGCAGACATTGAATCGTCTGGCTGGACAGCGGGCATCGGGTCACCAGGCATCAGGTCATTTGGCTCGACAGCGGGCACCGCGTCATCTGGCAAGGCAGTGGTCTCCGAGTCAACAGGCACGACAGTGGGCACCGGGTCATCAGGTACCGGGTTGTCTGGCTCGACAGCGGGCATCGGGTCATCAGGTATGACAGCGGACACTAGGTCACCAGGCATCAGGTCATTTGGCTTGCCAGCGGGCACCGCGTCATCTGGCAAGGCAGTGGGCACCGAGTCACCAGGTACGACAGCGGGCTCTGAGTCAATTGGCACGACAGCGGGCACCGGATCAGGTACCGGATCATCTGGATCAACAGCGGGCATCGAGTCAACTGGCCTAATAGGATCGTCAGGCTGGATCAGTTCATCATGCTGGGTAGAGGCATTAGGCCGAGTAGAGGCTTCAGGCCGAGTAGAGGCATCAGGCCGAGTAGAGGCATCAGGCCGAGTAGAGGCTTCAGGCCGAGTAGAGGCTTCAGGCCGAGTAGAGGCTTCAGGCTGAGGAGAGGCTTCAGGCCGCGTAGAGGCTTCAGGCCGAGTAGAGGCTTCAGGCCGAGTAGAGGCATCAGGCTGCGTACAGGCATCAGTCTGAACCACGGAAGGCAGGCTCACCGGTTTGGATACTGGCAGGATGGTATTGGTTGGAAAGAATTTTCGCTTTTTTCTGGTTTTAACTACTGGAGCACTGCAAGTAAACGCAGGTCTGCAAACGAATGGAGCAGCCGGAGACAGAGAAGAATTGGAGGATGGAACAGGGAGAGGGAGCAGTTGCTACAGAGGGCTTTTTTACAGGGTTAAAGGCAGGATAGGTGCAGCGAGTGGGAACAGGGTACTGACATGCGGTAGATAGCCAAGTATACTGGGCTGTAACTGGAGGAGCTGGTGGGAATACAGGAGTAGAGTTAGAAGCAGGACTGGGTTTTTGTAAGCTGACTGAGGCTGGGTGCAACAAATCTGTCCATGTCTGCAGTAGGGGTTGAACAAAGCTGAGCTTACACAAAGTCTGTCTGGTCAATGACTGCACTGCGTGTATACAATCTCTCAGTGTCTGTGTGGTGAACATGTGGAATAACGCTCCAGAAAGTAACCCACATCATCCTCTAATAACCACACCAGGGACTCTACCTGGTCTGCACTAAATGGTGGCAAAAATTCATCCCTGCATTCGGGGGAACCAGATGAAACCAACTCTGCACAAACCTCAATCAAAGGCTGCACCTCAGAGAACACTGTGCCCTGATCTACTAGAACATGAGCGAGCCGTATACATTCTAGCAATTCATCCCGGGTATACTCCTTCAGAGTTTGATAAGCATACTCCCTGTCATCAAACACTAGCAGATATAAATACTCAACCTCATCAAGATCCATCCTTCCCATCAACAAGCCAAGATGGCTTCCCTGTGCAGCCACTTCTGGTCAGGATTGGCCTTGGTGTAATGTCAGGGCTCCCAGGTATGACCAGAGATATGTGACTGATGCAGGGAAACGCAGACTTCAGATATGTGATAAACAATATAATTTATTAACACTAACAGTACAAACATAAACGCAGTGCAATACTAAAACATAACACAGTGCAAACAAACCAAACCAAACCACCACACAGATAACAGTATATACAAGCAAGCGTCGTCAGGCAGGCCGGGTCAATATCAATAAGGCAGGTAGGTACAGGGGGAGCAAGCGGAGATTGGTCAGGGTCACAAGCCAGGGATCAGAACAGGTAGCAAGCAGCGTGGTACAGAGGGTCAGACAGAGGGTTGGTCAGGAGCGAGCCGGGATCAGAGCAGGAGAAGTCAGCAGCGGTTCAGAAACAGGATGCAGGACAGAAACAGGATACAGGGCCCAGGACAAACACAACACCAAGGCAGAGTCTGTGGGTCTGGCCATCCCTTAAATACCCCAGCATCATCAGTTACAGGTGTTAGCTGGCTGAAAGGTTGAGTCTCTGATTGCTGGGAGCACCCGCTGGCCAGCCCTGGTACTGCAGATCAAAAGGCAGGTGAGTCCCACCATTGCTGGCCAGTCCATTCCTAACAGTCCTTTTGTCTCTTTCGGTGAGTTGACCATGTCAATCCAGATCAATCAGATGGAGTTCTCAGAAACTGTATATGCCATCATAACCTTTGATACTGTACCTTGGGACACAACAAATAAATTAGCAACTTCATTCACAGAGGAACCAGCTAAGTGGGCACCAACAATTTGCCCTCTTTGAAGCTTAGTAAGCTCTGACATGACTCTGAATTACTAGCAGCATACGTAGTGAATGACAAAAATGAGGTTTCACACCTGTTAGCTAGATGTTTCATCACACAGTGGAGGGGTGCTTTGGGACAGGGGGGCCTCTTCCCCACAACCCTGGCCAGTGGTTGTGGGGGTCTGCGGTCGGGGGGCTTATCGGAATCTGGAGGCCCCCTTTAACAAGGCAGCCCCCAGATCCCGCCCCCCATGTGAATGAGTATGGGGTACGTGGTACCGCTACTCATTCATAAAAAACAAAATGTGTAGTATAAAAAAAAAAGACAGGATACAGTCTTTGACAAGTTCTTTATTAAAATAAAAATCTAAAAGAATGTCCGCCAAAGTAGATCCAACGTCAATCATGACGTAAGCTGCCGGCGACCAGAAAAAAAAAAATGTTCCATTACCGACGATGGCTGCCAGCCCTCTGCTCTGAGCTGGGTTGACAGCTCTTAAATATGTAAGGGGCGGGGCCAACTGGGACATCATCCGAGTGACCCCACCCCATGTGACATCATTGATGTCACGTAGGGTGGGGTCACATGCGTGATGTCCCCGGGTGGCCCCGCCCCTTACATATTTAAGAACTGTCAAACCACCGGAGCTGTCACACTGCAGGAGCCAGCGTCCGGAATGGAACTTTTTTTTTTCTTTCCGAGTCGCCGGCGGCGGCGGTCGTGATTGACGTTGGATCTACTTCTGGGGACATTCGTTTAGATTTTTATTTTAATAAAGGACTTGTCAAAGACCATGTCCTGTCTTTTTTTACACTACACTTTTGTTTTTTTGTGAATGAGTAGTGGTACCATGTACCCTATACTCATTCACATGGGGGGGGCGGGATCTGGGGGCCGCCTTGTTAAAGGGGGCTTCCAGATTCCGATAAGCCCCCTGCCCGCAGACCCCCACAACCACTGGACAGGGTTGTGGGGAAGAGGCCCCCCTGTCCCAAAGCACCCCCTCACGTTGAGCGCATGTGGCCTATTATGGTCCGGGGGGGGGCGCTTGCTCATCCCCCCCCCTTTCCTGACCTGCCGGGCTGCATGCTCGAATAATGGTCTAGTATGGATTTGGGGGGACCCAACGCCATTTTTTTTTTTATTTTGGTGTGGGGCTTCCCCTCAAGACCCTAGGGCTTGGTATGGATGGGAGGGGGGAACCCATGCCTTTTTTTATTTACTATGGTGCTGGTTTTTAAATGTAATTCTCACTTTTTTTAATTCACTATAGCTCAGAAATTCAGCTGTCGCTTTCCCCCAGCTAAAAGAGAAAGTTTTCTTTGAGTTATTTCCCTAAAGGAAACAATGTTTACTTTTAGGATATATGAAATCAAGCGCTGGGTATCGGAAAAAAAAATACAAATAAATGAATAAATGAGTATATTAAATACAAGCTAGCTGCTGGCATTAAAGGACACCTCAAGAACCTAACCATAATGGTCAAAATATAGCAAACAACACAGCGCTAGTAAATCAGTGACAATCTCAGAAGTGTCAAAATAGATTAAATTATCAGATAAAAGTTCCAAAGCAGATAGTGCAGAACAGAGTAGAAATTCCGTGACTCCTATGATGGTGGGAAAGAGTATAGATTTACACTAACCAGATAGATGAAACGCTTGCGCATGGAGTATATAGGACCTACTCCTGGTACTCTGGATGTGAATCACTGGAATGGATAGTAGTCATCTATGTCTTAGCCACCAGGTGTCATACATCTGGAATACATCAGAGGTCTCACGGGATGCCAACTTCAGCCACCAGAGGGGGTATTCATCCCAAACATCAGACATCAAGTAGGCAGGAATCGGGCAAACCTTCAAAGAGTGGGACTCCCATGGAGAAAACAGAGCCCCAGACAAAGATAAAAAATCCAAGATGGCCGCCGGCTGTGTTTAATAAGCCATGCGGTGCAGTAACACAGTAGTCCACTAGGGGGCACTCTTGACGCGTTTCGTGTACAGGACACGTTATCAAATGGAGTGTGCATGTAGAAACAAGTCCATTAAATAGCCCTTGGCGCGCATGCGCTCTGTGCTGCCGCCGCATCATTGCGGGAAACCCGCGCATGCGCAGTAGATGCGCGCAGCGGCCATTTTCTTGTAGTGGAAAAGAGTAATGGTAAAATCCGAGTTGCACATGCGCAGTAAGCACCGCGGCAGCCATTTTATCGGTGACCTGTGTAATATTCAACAGAATGGCATTTAAGCCCCATACAATGACTGAACAGCGGGAAAAAGAAAATAGTAGATAAATACAATTAATATGTCCACGTATTTAATCTACAATCAATCAGCACTGGTTAAAGACCAGTATATTCATATAAGCAGTATATATCGAGGATTAAGCAATATATGAATTGACATACATATATATAATTAATATAGATAATAATAATATAATTTAATAATAAAGCTATAGTCCGAATAGCGCCATCTAGCTCTCTTGATAATAAAATTACAGGTATAGTGTGGATAAAAAACAAAAGGAGAAAAGTCATGCAAGACGGGGTGACCCCTGTTCAATCATAAATAAATAAAATATAGGCCAAAGAGGGGGCGAATACCATCCACAATTTGGCCTATCTATTAAAGGTGCATAAACAATAATCTATAAATACAAATAAATACAATAAAAATATGTATATAAAATGATTAATCTAAAAAGAACTGATGTTTAAAACCATAATATAAATATAAAAATATAGTAACATTTTTTAATAAAAACAGAGGAAAATGAAATAGGAAAAAATGAAGAAATGAGGGGCGGTACTAGCTGGTATCTATGAAGCAGGTAATGTCCAAATCTATGTTCAGGCCATGTGGAGACTGTCTGCGTAAAAGATAAATCCATTTAGTCTCTAGCATACAGACTGCCCTCTCTTTTTGTTAACCCCGCTCCAGCGTTAGTGGATAATATCTATACCTGTAGACCGGAGAGAACAAGGGTTCCTATGATGCAGTTGGCGATAATGCATGGAGACCGAATGTTCTTTGAA